TTCGTGCACTTACAATCTAGGAAAGGCGACATTAACAAGGGAGGATATGTACGTGAGTGTCAGAAAGGCGGTGTGTAGGACGCTGTGGAATGACCCAGTTAGTGAGGCGACTGGGGAGGAGGGGCGAACGTAGTCTGAAAGATGAGCACAATGTTCCCGGAGAAAGGCTGCTACAGCAGGTCCCTGCGGACGTACAGGTCGAGGGCGCAGGAAGGAAGGGCAACTTAACACAGTGCCAGCCTCACACCAGGCAGGTGCAAAGGCCTGCCAGGTGCCTACCCAAGGCAAGGCAATGAGTGCTCTAAGTATTTCCCTTATGCGTAGGTGTGGTTATTAACCCTGTTTTACAGATGAGGAAACTGAGACACACAGAGAGTAAGTAATGCATCCACTGTCACACAGCAAACCTTGGAGCTCAACCCTGGCTGTTTGGCTCCAGTGTCTGTGTTCTTAGCCATCACACTCTACAATGCTGGAGCAAGAAGCTGAAAAACAGGCTGTATGTCCAGAGTTCAAGCAGTGTTTGCTCGTGGATCTAAGATCCACTTTTATTTTAAGGGGGGGAGTACATTCCCCTTCAGGGACGGCTTCATACAACACAGATTTTGGGAAACAGCCCACAGTTACTGAACTTGAATTTCTAGCCATGGAGCCCAAAGTCTGCATTTTAACAACGCTTCCACGTGATTCTGAAGCAATAAAGCCTAAGAACCATAGGATTAGAGCTACCATTTCCTCCAATAATCTCCTCCCTCTCATAGTCTCCCCTAATGAATCCATGGTTATTTAATAATATATTGGTCCCCGAGTATAAACTAGACATGCGGGTGAATAGGATGGAAGCAGAAGACTGGAAGAAATCTAAAAATTGAATCTATGCTCTGCCAGGTCCCCTGACTACCAGGGTGTGAAGAGAATCATCTAGGTTTGAAAAACTGGAGGCAAAAAGAGACCACAGAGGCTTAGAACAATTTTCACTACAATGCCGACCATTTAAATAACTAATTGAATCTCTGGAAATGGGAGTAAGATCTAAAACTGCTGGAAGAGCAATTATCTTGCATGGCCTGTGATCCCTCCATCCTTAGGCGGCACTGGATGGAGACGCTCACACGGCAGAGGGAATTTTCCTGAATGTAGAATGCATACAATAGTAGTAGCTGAAGTAATCTCTGGCCACTGGGGCACATGGGCTCAACAAAACTAATATGCCTCCTTAGGTGTCAGGGGACCCTGACAGCTCTAACACCAATATCTGGCTGCCAGCATGGGTATCCTTTTTAATTCAGTCCTTTCCTCTTTTAAAACCATTTAACAGAGGCATTATGCTAATCCCCTATGAGGAAGGAACGAAAAGAAATAGCTGAACTTCAATAAACCTCTATTAGCATAGATTATTTGATCTTCTTGCATTTTTCCAATATATATCTTTAAGAGCTTGAATGTTTTCCAGATATGTGACTACGAAAATTTCAAAAGCCAACCTCCTCCTTCAAATGGTTCGGAATAGAGATCACAGCTTTTCCATCCCACTCTGTCTGGAAACGACCTTCCCCAGGCGACTCAACAAATTCTGTTCCTCCGGCTCAATTACTCTGAGTTCTCATTCAGGAAAATAAGTGCTGGAGGGTTTCCAGAAGAGACTGCTGTTTCCACCCCTCAAAAGATCAGATAAACATTCCACTGTATTGTCAAAGCTCTTCTGTATTCAGTACATTTATTTCTGATTCCATCCACAAGCAAAGTTTACTGGATGCTACTATGTTAATTCTAGGGCAGAGGGTCATTTAAGAAGAGGAAATGGCACAGTTAGAAAACCTCCATACAGGCACCCCCCAACCCCATTGCAATCTAAGACACTGATTGATGATAATCTTCAAAAGCGGTCACTACCAGCACCCCCCGCCCCTGTCCATCAATGAGAAGGGCTTTGAAGCAGCAGGCAGGTCTATGTCAATGCTGGCCACATTGTCATGTCACTCCCATGAAGATGTGTGAGTCAGAGAGCCTTTGGGGGATCCTAGATGCACAGTGCCAGAATTTTCCAAGGAGAGGAGTTAAGTGTTCTCGATCTCTGGGATGGGTTCTCTCTTCAAAGAGCCGCATGCTTTCCTCTCCTGGAGATCTTCCAGGGGGCTAGAGCAGCGATGCACTGAGAGCCACGCCCTACCCGAGTACACGGCTGTCCAGACAAGGCCAGAGGGGTGTGGATGTGACTCAGTTTCTTCGAGCAGTAGGGTTAATACTCTTTCCATCCTTCCCTTTCTTGGGTGTGCCTTTTCTTACTACGGCAATGGTAAGATTCATAGAACCGAGGCTGGGGTCTGAGGCTAGGGGAGAGAGACCAAGTTATTAACTCTAGGTCTTAGGCCAAAATGGAGCTCTGGAACTAGTTCCTGTATCTCCACCTGGACCACCTCATCAGGGGACTGAAATAAGCGGGGCGGAAATACTGGTTCTAAGAAAGTCATTTTATAAAAGTTTTCCTGTGTGTTTATTGGAACTTAGGTATTAAGCCTCCTGGATCACAGCCCTCCAAATACATCCAGGGGTACAGAGCATTACCATTAAAAGGAAAGAAGTACCTACCATATATTGCCAATTTCCTTACCTGTTCAATACTTTCTAATGTATCTGCCTCTTTTCTTCCACAGGCTGGAATATAAATTCATCAGTGACACATGCTTAGTGCTTAAGGCCCTATATTCTAATGAAGATGCCTGGAGTCAGGCTCTAAGTACAGGAGCCACAGATAAATGGGATGTCTGATGAGGAACCACGTGTGAATGGCTGATTGAAATGCCACAACGGGGTCAACAGAAGACGAGCACTCCTGCAACACACGCCCGAGGCACTACGGCATGTAAAACTTGATCATATTTTCCCTGCCAAGTTCTGGATCTGGAAATCAAAGACTTCATCTACAAATTTTACAAACCTTGTTCCCAGGGTGACATGCAAATGGAAAAGACAGGAGCTTCTGTTCCACAGTCTCTGGCGTATTTATTAGTGGGGAAAGCAAGCAGGTGGTCAGGAAGGAGAGAAAGCATGAAGGGAACAGCGTCCGCCTACCTGGCTGGCACAGCCTCGGGCAGGGCGTCCACTCGCTGAACGTGGTCACGATACAGTCTTTCTTGCACGGGAGGAGACAGGGGCGTACTGTTTCGGGCCGAGTAGATTCTGGGCATCTGCCAACGTGAAGAGAACGCATCAGTGCCTCCTGGAGAAAGTAAGCACTTTAACACAGAACCGTCGGATTTCAGAACTGAAATCACTGAGACCTTTTGTAGAGAAGGGAGAGAGACCCAGGGAGGTGAAGTTATGCGCTGTGCCCAAGGCCTCACAGCCAGAGGGAGAGCCCGAAGCACACCTCACCTCTCTTGACTCAGAAACCAAAATTCTTTTCACTAGACCAGAAGAAAAAAAATCCCTGAAGCTAATGTAAGACAGATGCCAACTGAGTATCTCCCCATCAGCATGAATTTAAGGAACACTTGATTATTTTTTCAGAATAGACAAGATTTCATTTTTTGAAAAGTGTTTTATTCAGGAATATATCAGATCAGCAATAGTGTACGAGGTGACACATGGGTATATTGGGAAACAAAAAACATTGACGACCATGCAAAAATACTGCACATCCCTGACACTCAACACAGGTTTAGAATTACTTAAGTAATTGACAGGTGTCTCTTTAGAACACGTAAATTGATGAGCTGAAGTCAGCGAGACATAAGTGGAGTATGTTTGCTTGCAAAGAACAAATATGCGGACTAGCATTAACGGGAGAAACGTCTTAGTTCTGCTATGCTGCTGAGAATTAACGTCCTGTTCATACTTAGGGGGAACGGAGTCAATGGACTCATCGTTACTTGGAAGAACTGAAGTCTCAGAACATGGCAAACAAGTTTCTGTTTTTATTTGCATGCTTGTTTGCTTATTTTCAAGAGTACAGAAGGCTAAAAACCACATTTATTATCTTCTAAAATAGTGCCATGCCACGAGGAGAACAGAAAAGCACTCTGCAACATACGTCTGCATCTTTGAATTCTGTTTCCCGCTAAGTTTCCTATACAGCACAGAGATGCAGTGCGTCTAAAGCTTAACAGCAGGAAGTCTGGTACTAGATGTCAGTGGTGAGTAAGCGCTTTGCCTACATTCTTTCTTTTATTGCTAATGACAGCAGTGAGAGGCATTATAATCTTCATTTTCAGATGATAAACTGAGGTGCTGAAATAATAAGTAATGGACCCAAAGCTACATGGAGACAGAACACTTGAGAAAAATAATGATCGGAAAAAGAAATCGCCTGGCAAGTTCAAACAGACAATTGAGACTTCCCAGTAGAAGAGAACAGAAAATGGAAGAAGTAAAATTAACAAGGAGATCATGGATTAAAATATCGTAGAGCTGATGAAAGGCTGGCAATTCAGAGTGGAACGTCTACCAACTGGGCACAAAATGACCAGCACGCAGACACAAAGACTGTCCAACTGGCAAACAGCAAGCCAAGGTAAGAGGAGAGGTAACAATGGCTGGGGGAGGCGAGGGAGAAAACCAGGTCACCTGACAAAAAAGGAGACTCTCACTGAGGTCAAATCTTGTCAAGGTACATAATTATAAAAATAAAAACCTACTCTTAGTTTTAAAACTTTAGAAGCAATACATAGACAAGACATGAATTTGGCTGTGAACAGAATGTACACAATATTTTTCTTGTCACCATAAGGTGAAGACACAGTGGGCACAAGATGGGAGATGGCAGGGGAGGGAGGCTTGGATGTCCTCATCCAACAAAGCAGGTCCTCAGAGAGCCAATACATATAAATGAAATGAGAAAGAAAGTTCTAAGTAAATTAATCAAAAATGCAAACATAACCAACCAACAGAACACCAACCAAAGGAAGAGGAGTCAAGTCGGGAGAGGAGTGTAAACGGGCATTTTAAATTGATCAATGAAGAGATATATGAATGATACGTGAAAACCACACCGTTTAGAGTAAGGAGGTAAACATCAGAAAGGGGAGGGAGGATGAGGATATATCCTGGCGCTTGCTTGCACTGACATAAAGACACAGTGGAGATAGACAAGAAACTAGCAGAGTGGCTGCCAATGGCAGGACAGGAGGTGGGGAGGCGGGGGATGGGAGCAGAGGTGGTGGAAGGCTATTCATTGTCATATATTAGATGTCCCCTTGTACTTTGTTATAACTTGTGAACCACATGAAGGCATACCCAGTCAAAACAGAGAGAGAGAGAGAAGAGAGGGGAAGAAAAGAAATAACAATTAATAGTTAATAGAAACTACTAAAAAGTGGTTGTGTTTGGGATGTGGGATGCTAAATGTAGTAGATTTCCATTCTCAGTCCCTCTATATTGTTTTACTTCCACTATGGTGCTTATAACACTGTAATACAGATAAATTGAAGTGGAAATGTATATATTCACAGAAAAAAACTGCTCAGTAAATTATTAGTGGTCTTATTAATAATCATCCTTAATATACATAAAAACTGCCTATTAAATAGTTGAATTCAATGAACACAACAATAGAATGAAAAAAGTGTCTTTAGAGAAAATAGTGTTATTTAAACAAACTATTCTGGTATGGTAGACTTATGTCACTCTTTGACAGAGATAGCAAAAAACTCCCAAGTCCTTTACTCATACCCTGAAGTCTACTAAAATTTAATTGAACTGCTCTTTATTCTGTCTGCTCTCCAATCTCTCCTGGTATGTGGCTGGAAATGGAAGGACAACTTCCGGTGCACTCAATAGGGCGGCGGGGCTGAGGGTGCACGGACCCAGCCAGGACACACTCGTTATGTCCACAAAGAGCTCAGAATTGCCTGTGCTGCTGGCTTGGCTTCAGGTGATCTGGAGAGAGTGGCTTACTCTGCAGGCACTTTGTTCACTTCCAGTTAGGAGCAGCTGTTCATCTTTTTTGGGAAACCAATATTGCTTACATTTGTTGACACTTTGTTAGCATCACTCACCACAAACACTCAGCAGGCCTAAGGTCAACTTCGTAACATGGTCCCCGTTCTCTGTGTTCTTCCCCTAAGTCCACCAGTGAGAAAAGGTAAAATCCCCTCAAAGGCGTAAGTCAAGCTCAGGTTAGACTGCTTTCATAGACGCCATGAACGGAAGGCTTTCCTGAAACGTGACTGCTGGTCTGAGAGGAGCCAAGTATTTTCTTGCCAGTGAAACTGTCTTTTTGTTCATTTCTTCAGCCAATAATGCAGACGTTTTCCTTAGAGGTTCAACTTCCTCTTCCTCCTATTTATATGCTGTCTAACTCCTTCAAGGACCATCTCATTTCCAATTTCATAAATTTCCTCTTAGTCTTCAAAAATACTCTCTTCGACCATTAGCAGCTTATGTATCCTCCACTTCTATAAACTATAATGTTTATTCTCTGTATCGTTTATTGTCACTGAATAAGAAATAGCTTTTGACATCTTTCATGCTGCTGGTTTTCTGGGTATGTGTGTGCACAAGTGTGCATACACGTGCATACTCTGTACATACACTAATTTTGATGGTAGGATTCCATTATATATCATAACTTAAAAATGCCAGACAATCTTAATGCATTGTATATATTTAGTAACAGGAAGTGAGTGACTGAATAGTACTTATGCTGTTGAAGCCAGAAGACAAATCCTTGGGGATATTAGGCACATTTATCCAGCCATCTCTAAAACAAAACTGAAGCCTTAAAAACCAGGGAAACACACAGAGTCACTTTTTAGTTAATAAACACAGCATGGCTCCTTGCCTTTTGCCAAAATCCATACTTCCTACTCTCCTGTAACACTCTGATCCTTGATTGGAAGTACTCTTGATAAAAGGATGAATACATTTCATTTCAACACACACACTTTCCTGGACTTGCACTGGAGTGTTCCATGTTGATTGCCTCTTGGTCGCCCTGCAGGTTTCAGTTCCTTATAATCACTGTGCTGAAATGCATCAAATTGAGCTACAGAGATCTGCTATTTTCCAGTTACGTGTCCACAATCATGGTGCAGACTCAGCACTCCAACCCCTTCCCTTGAGTAGTCCTCCAACCCAGGAAGTGCCGTACCAACTCAATCTGCCAACTTTTTCAACAGGAAATGTGTAAACGGAGCTCTCAATTACTAGATCTCACAAAAGGGCCCGTGTTTTCACGTTAATGGTAGAAAGTGACTTACAGGACCTTGGAAGGCTTTGAGTTGTGGGATTTTAATCTTAGTTATTATTTTTTTGCACATTGCAACTGAAAAAAAAATTGAGTAGTGAAACAAAACCAAACAAATGTCCCAGAATATCCCAACAAGCTCTCACTCTGTGTCAGTTGTGCCTTAGCTAGTCCTCATTTTCTTTTCTTTTTTTTTTTTAATGGAGGTATTGGAGATTGAACCTCATGCATGCTAAGTGCTAAGCACGTGCTCTATCACTGAGCTATACCCATGCCCCTAGTCCCCATTTTCTGATAAGATCAATTCTATTACTCATACAACGGCAACCTATACAATTATGTGGAAACCAAAACACCACCCCAGGGAAGCAAGAACTTGCAAGGAATTCTGTACATCCCAGTGCAGTGGGTTTAGGGCTAGAGCACGTGATGTTAGCCCATCCAGTCCATGGAGACATGCTTCTTTCTGTCTATCCTGAAGCCCACTCTTTCTTGAGGATATTTTCCTCTTCTCTTTCTATTGCCATCACCCCCACCCCCAGGATTTCACAAAAGGGAGGGGATTTTTTTCCACTGCAATGGCTTTCACATCAAAAAGAGCAAAAGCGTATTTTTCTGAAAGGACAGAGCAAAGGATACTTTCTACCGCTGATCTTCTATCTCACTATGTGCTCCACTGGACACTAGGTATTATTTTCTTAGCTCAATTAATCTCATTAACCTCAAGAATTTTAATTAACTTTTCTTAAGTCAATGCAGGCTTCTCTTGTTGAGCAGGAATGTTTGGAGACATACAGTAAAAATTAAAACTAGGTTGCTAAGTCTCCAGCCTCATTAAAAGTGCAAAAAAGTAATTAGCAATGTCTGTGTGTGTGTGTGTGTGTGTGTGTGTGTGTGTGTTTTAGGGAAAACATCTGTGCAATTAATTTTCTTGTGTTGGAAAATCAAGCAAAACTGGAGGTTATTCATTGTCATGATGATATTTTTAGTCTCACGTAAATTATCAAACAAATGCATATGCATTTGTGAATTGTGCTTTAAACTATAAACTGTTGGCCCTGTGATTTTTCTTCTGACAAAATATCATTAAGTTAACCTTTGAATAAGCTGATGGGCTCAGAGACTTTATAAAAACTGTCATTCAAAGTAATCAGAAAGCCAGGCAAGGAAACAGGGGTCTATTTGAACATATAATCCAACTTTTCATGTCCAAATAGCGTTTGAAATGTGATGATAATGTCTTTGGTAGCTGTCAGTCTCAATTCTAATGCTCCACTGCTAAGACAAAAAAATAAACTGCATTCACATCAAGTGGATTTTTCCTGTTGTGGTTCAGAGGTGAAACATTACCTGGAAGGGAGCTCATACTTTAGGTATGCTCAATTTTCTCATCACTGTAAAGAATAATAGTTTGCTGCATTTCATGTAGCATCCATTCCTATGTCTAAGCTATACTTATTTTTATTTGGATATTCAAGCTAATATGTCACGCATCTTTTTTTCAGCAGTTGGAAATTTACATCATAAAAATGAACACTATCAAGGCTGCAATCCGTCTCAAGATAAAAGGAGTTCTCTTGTCTGCTTGGTATCTTTATAAGCCTTTCAGAATTTTACCATAACCTCATGAATTTGATTATCTCCTGAACCAAATGATGTGCAAACGTTATTGTCCATGTTTGGCTAAAACTTTCACTGACTCGATTGATCCGCATGGTGTTTTGTTACCACCAGGTAAACTGAAACACACACTGGTGTAAACTGACATTCCACAAAGTATCACAAGCAACTTAGAGTTAGATGCTAAAGCAGAAATAACATTTATGACTTAATAAGAGCAGAAGGACATACGTACAATCTGCACATCCACATCACACTTCACGGTAGTCCCCTTAGCCAAAATTTATCATGGTAGATTTTATCTTTTTCTATTTCATATTTTTATATTTTTAAATATTTTATATTTTTTCTTAAAGCAAAGGATAAACATCAGCTTCTTTAATCTTCTACAATTCATATCTGTTCCTTGTCAAACCCTGTTACTTTCCTACACATAGGTCTGATTCATTCATAAATTCTAAAAACGTTATGGACACTAACCACATGCCAGACACGGTGCTAAAATCTGTGGTGGCAACAGTGAAGATCATCCAACCCCAGCCCGCTGGACGCCACATTTGGGAGGGGGGAGATTCAGTCTTCTTGACTATGCTTCACTTCCAGCCCTAGTTATCTTCTCTTGTATTTGCACAGCTATCTGCTCCTCAGATGCTCCAAAACCACAGTATCTGGCCAGTCTGCCCTATTTCTGCCATCAGCAGCTCAGGTTCTATGACTTTCCTTACACACAGCCCAAGTGGTTTCCATGGCAATGTGGCTAAGGCCCAGAGTCCGTCATCATGGTGCCCCAAGATGAGATTAATCAGGTGTCTGAGTTGCCCATGACAGCAACACAAACTGGATGGAAGCAGGCAGGAGAGCAAATGTAGGTGCCTAGGTTGCCAGGAAAGGCAGCTTCCTCAGTGGGGATGGGACCAGTGCTGGACGCTGCCAGGATTTGTTCTGCTTCGGTTTCTGCTTCTTCCTGAGCATCAATTTTACTCTCTCCTCCTGCTTTTTCCATCAGGCGAGAGCACAGTCATGGCAACTCTCCA